AAAATATGTTTCTCAGTTGTCATGGCATGGGATTCGTTATAAAATACGAGTAAATATGTTTCTCAGTTGTAATGGCATGGGATTCATTATAAAATACAAGTAAATATGTTTCTCAGTTGTCATGGCATGGGATTCGTTATAAAATACGAGTAAATATGTTTCTCAGTTGTCATGGCATGGGATTCGTTATAAAATACGAGTAAATATGTTTCTCTGTTGTCATGGCATGGGATTCGTTATAAAATACGAGTAAATATGTTTCTCAGTTGTAATGGCATGGGATTCATTATAAAATACAAGTAAATATGTTTCTCAGTTGTCAAGGCATGGGATTCGTTATAAAATACGAGTAAATATGTTTCTCAGTTGTCATGGCATGGGATTCGTTATGCAGTATGAGTAAATGTGTTTCTCAGCTGTCATGGTATGGGATAGAAGTTTAATGTTTCAATCTACACCACAACATTGCGCAGGAAAAAAAATCGAGTGCTAAACATTAAAATTAGATAACCTCAAACTTTCATTCACTATGAAAGAATACAAATACGAGTGTTTAAAGTTTGATAACTTACTCTATTATTAAGCCTAATAAGAGCTAGCCTAGATAGAAATATAGCTCTCAGCTGAATGCTTTAGGAAATATATGTAGAGTTAGTACACAGACTATACGTTGTTTACAATTATAATATGAAAGGCTATTTGTAAAAAATAAACTTATAATGAACAAGGTTTCTATCTGATCCACTGAATGGCTACCCTTTAGAGAAATTAAATATTATGTCTAGTTGTTTTTTTTTAAACAAAGTTTGAAAAAAAACATATGTTATAAGCACTTTCAGTTCGCATAGCATGTAAGGATTGATCATTAAACTGAGAAGTATAATAAATTAGGGGATAAAAGTCTAAACACACATTTTTTACGTATATTATAACGACGAAACATTGGCATTTGAATATATAAAGACATACAGTTATTATAGCACAGTATGGTCACTTGGCTAAAACTCAGTCTATTTTATCGAATAATTGTTACTTAAGGAATGATAAATACTCGTAAACTGACAAGTTCAATTTAAGTTCTGGCATGTAACAGTTCGTTTGTTTGTTGTTTAGCACAAAGTTACACAGTGGGTTATCTACGCTCTGCCCAAAGCAGGTATCGAAATACGATTTTTAGCGTTATAAACTTTTAGAATTACTGCTGAGCCACCACGAGGCACATGTAACATAAATTTGTGACATGCGTGGGAGTTATAATGCATAACACACAAAAAAAATTCTGAGAATGTGTTTAAGTGATTGATTTTGTGATAATGAAAAATAAAGATACCTATAATGCAGCTTTTAGCTAAGCAATTAAAATTTAACTAATTTCCCCGAAAGGAAACCGAAGACCACCTGTTTTAGCCTCTGACACTACTATACAGAAATGTGTTGTCTATCAGTCAGTCAGTAGAAACTAAAATGACGTCACATAAAGGACGCTTAACGTTGCAATTTGTATTGTTGTGAAGTCAGTAAAACGTGCGCATACCATGAATCACGAGAAAAATTATGCATCCTGTAGGCTACAACATGGCATGACATATGAAGTTGAAAAGCAAAAAATAAAAATATTTGTTACTCTTAACTGACTCTTGAAACAAAGCACTTTCGGGGAGCCTGCGCAAGTACATCGTGTTATTGCGTTATATTATAACTTACAATATTTATAATGGAAAAAGCCACTTGAAATGTATAACGATATTGTAAAAACAATGTATTATTTCGTCTATTTTATTTATTGAAAATAATGTTTTTTTATGACGAAGAGGGTATTCTTATACCATGTGTCATTGAACTACTGTCAAAAATTAAGGTTTCACAACGAAAGTTAAATTGTTACGAAACAGTACGCACTAGCCCTGGCATAATTTTCTAACATCACACAACGTGCAATTATAAATAATATTACTTAGTTGTAGTTTTATCGAAACAAAGGTTTGATCCTATTCTTCTTTTTTCTATTCTACTTCTAGACTTTAGGTAGAGAAGTTTTTCGATTAACTTTAGGACCATCAGCGACTATGAAACAACTCGAATTGTAATACAAATTATGTACGAAGAAAATTGTTCAAACAAACAAAAACAGCCACTGCTTTTGAAAAAAGAATCCCAAAAGATTATACATATAAAACATAAAACTAAAAAAAGGGGGGGGATTAATTTTCCTTTCTTACCAGACTCGCATCTTCAAAGTAAAACATAAAAATTCGAAGAACCAGTGAAAAAACCACAGTAAATGGAACAAACGGACAGAAGTGTTGATATTGGAGGAACTAGTTTCGACGTGTCCTCTTCAGTTTTTTTTCCAATCTATCAATATTTCTGGCAATCTAGATAAAAGAGCTAGCACAAAGGATCACATATAAAGTGTAATAAACTTAAAAAAAGACTCAAAACTCGAGCGCTTTCGAATAGTTGACTATTCTTCTTCAGGAGAACAAAGGACAGTTTGTCCCATTTACTGTGGATTCTCAGTAAATACTATACACGATATTATGTTGTTTTTTTTTACTACTAACCTGAGCAATACACATGAAAAACAAATACGTTTGCATACTTGATCTAAGTAATAAAACAACACGGTTTGGGAGGAAAGCAACATTGTGGCAATTTCTATTTGCGTTGGACTAGAGTGGCTTGAGGATAAGGAGTTCGACTCGCAATCTGCTAATCAAGGACTCGAATCCCATCACCGAACACGCTCGCCTTTTCAGCCGAAAAGGCATTATAATGAGTCAGTCAAAGCTCACTATTCGCTGATAAAAGAATAGCCCAAGAGTTGGCAGTGGATAGCATTGATTAGCTGCCTTCCTATCACTTCTAAATTGGAGACAGCTAGCGCAGATACCCCTCGAGTAGCTTTGCGCGAAATTCAGAACAAACCTCACCAAATCATAACGTCGATTGCATATTTTTATATAATTGATAATACACTTACTTCTAAAATAAATAATAACTTAGCCGTTCGGAGTGAGAAACGATAATAGTTCCAAGACGGTTTCAGTTTGATCTGGATATGGAATTGGTGTGAATATATTTCTACACTAACTTCTTCACGCTTGATTTGTGGTTTTATAGGAGTAATTATTAAAAACCTCATAATTCTCACGATTCATATGAGAAATTGGTAAATGTTTCTAATGTAAAAACATTCTAATTATATTCATGCGCTCTAACTATTTACAAACAGTATTCTGACCGTAACTGGCTTACTCATATTCCTCTCACAGAATTGGTTTGATTAGAATTTTCGCACAAATCTACACAAGTGTTATCTGCTCAACCGCCGCTAATTTTGGAGTATAAGAGCAAAGGGGAAGACAAGTAGTCAACAGCACTCACCGTCAACTATCGGACTCTCTCTCTCTCTCTTATACTGGGCCCGGCATGGTCAGGAGGTTAGGGAGCTCGACTCGCAATCTGCGGGTCGTGGGTTCGAATTCTCGTCCCACCAAACATGCTCGCCCTTTCAGCCGTGGGGGGCGTTATAATGCGACGGTCAATTCGTTGTTAAAAGAGCAGCCCAAGAGTTGGCAGTGGGTGGTGATGACTAGCTGCCTTCCTTCTAGTCTTACACTGCTAAGTTAGGGATAACTAGCGCAGATAGCCCTCGTGTAGCTTTGGGCAAAATTCAAACAAAAAAATTCTCTTATAAGCGCATCCACAGCTCGAAAGAGTGGAGCGCATTCTGCGGTATCGCGATTCAAACTAAATCACTCAGCTTCATACTTCAGCACGCTGGCTATTAACACGCCCGATCACTCCATAAAAAGAAACATCATATCTGCATTAAAGTAATTTAATGCTATTCATTTATAGATGCCGCCTATAGATTTAAACAAATAAAAACTTAAAAATTACTCATGCGAACTGTAATATCTTTACGCTATGTTGAAAACAAAATAAAGTATAAGACAGCAAAAATAAAGCCAATATCTCGTAAATAATGATGAGGTTTTAAAGGATTACCTGATTATCGAGAAGAATTTTTTTTCGTCTGCAGTTAAATTAAACTAATCATCAACTTAAGCTTTAATTAAGTTACTTACTCCCAAACATAAGTTTAAATGAAACTAGTCTACAGTTTTCCGGTTTTATACTACCAGGTGACTGAGGTAGTTTTCTGGTACCGAGGCTATGACGAACATTGTTTGACTATAACCGCCAACCAGGTATGCAAGAGTGAAAGTAGCTGCTTCTGGCCCTCTTGTAGGGAATTCCCGAACTACTAAACACACACAGCACATGAACCACACCAGTGATGCCAAGGTTAATAATACTTAGCTTGGGTGGTTCCCGGTAGGTGGCGACGCACCCAACTAGGTACAGAAAAGGAATAACCACTTTGAAGGTCTTCAAATGGTTTTGTTTAAATAATAAACAGTGTTAGTGTGTGACTATTAGGTTACAGGGAATACCAGAAGTTGATGAGATGGGACAGAAATTAATAATTTAGGGTAAAGACTACTTCTGGCAACTGACTGATACCATAACATTCAAAAAATAAAAACGTGTTCTGCTTTCTGCCTCGCGTTACGATTTCGAATACGTATCTGGATATTTCGATCATGGAGTTATTCAAAATGCGCAAATTATCAGCGTTTATCAAAGAACCTAACCAATAACAGGCACGATTTTCTCTATTAATACATAATTATTACCATCAATTTAGACTGTTTTTGAGCTTACTTATCGTCGCTTGGCACCTTATTTATTTTTGATTTTTTTTTATGTAACTCAGTAGAAATAACGTTAACGAAATTTATCACTTATGGTTAAGTAATATTCTGGTCAAAACTGTATTGTTACCTTTGCTTGTTTAATCGAAAAGCTGCATAGTGCCCTATCTCTACTATGCTCACCCAAGGATCGAACCCCAAATTGCAACGTCATAACCCTTCAATCAGGTAATGTTCTAGTGACAGCTGGTTCTGCCAACTGGTTGCCTGACCTCCGTTTGGTCAGTAGCTTAAAGCTAGGAACGGTTATACCTTTACCCTAGGGATCTCTGACCTGGCCATACAGACCCAAGTGCTCACAAAGTGTCAATCAGATTGAGAATTCCAACTTTGATTTACCAAACAATACAAAGTAGACATTTTCCAAAAATGGATTTCACTATAGAGCTGCTCATGGCAACTTTGGGGATACTTGTATAGATTTTATTAGATTATAAGACTGAGCAGTTTTGCAGTTTAAATCAGGAATCATTAAGAGCTTCTGATCAAAATTAATCGAACAGTAATGATCAAAAGACGTAAGATCATAAGTAAACATAAGAAAACCAAAACCTTTAATTTTATCGATATATTATTAGCTTAGAGTATGGATTTATGACTGAGTTAAATCCTTTAAACTGGCCGAAACTCATGAGATATTACTGTAATCACTGTCGAAGATATCTTTAATAGCAAAGGTTTTAAGTGCTGATTCAATGCATTCTAATCGTTAATAGTATTATCAATGTTTGCAATTATTTTAAAAATCACAAAACCAATAGTATTAAAAAAAATGCACTTTAAAGAAGGGTGTAGTATGGCATTACTTACAAAAACTCGTAAAAAGTCTATCGTTCACTCCTAAGGTCCACGCAGCTTACAGTCCACGAAATCTGATTATATTATCAGAGTCCATGTATTTGCAGTAAGCATTTAGGTTGTGAATCATGGGCAGCCAAGGATAAAGCGTCCTTCATAATCTCGAAGGACCCCGAGTTGAGCACATTGATTGTTTGTTCGTTTGCTGTTAATCACGTAGCATAGCTGTACTGTGCCCATTGCGAGTATCGAAATCCGGTTTCTAGCGTTATAAACCCTCAGATTTCCGCTGAGTCACCAGAGAGTGGGCGACAAAGTATATTTAGTGGAAAAGGTTTTGAAAAGGAAGATAAAATAAGACTTCAAAAAAGGCAAGAAAAGACTCAGAAGCAGTTGTATAAAAAGCACACAATAGATAAAACAAATACCAATATATAAAAAGCACACAATAAATTTTTTGTTTGGAATTATGCACAAAGCTACACAAAGGGCTATCTGTGCTCTGCCCACCACGGGTATCGAAACCCGGTTTCTAGCGTTATAAGTCCGCAGACATACCGCTGTGCCACTCGGAGGCACACACAATAAATAAAACAAACACCAATATATAAAAACACATCAACAAATAAAACAAACACCAATAAATAAAACAAATACCAGTATATATAAAAAGCCCACAATAAATAAAACAAACACCAATAAATAAAACAATCTAGACCTGATACGCATGCGTTCGAGAAAATTGTAATCTCTGGTAGTTATATAGTTCTAAAGAATACAATTTAGCTCATTTAAACGTACTATATATATATATATATATATAGTTGAACCAAATAATAAGCTCAGGAACAGGGAGGAACATGTTTGTTTGTTTGTTTTTGAATTTCGTGCAAAGCTACACGAGGGCTATCTGCGCTAGCCGTCCCTAATTTAGCGGTGTAAGACTAGAGGGAAGGCAGCTAGTCATCACCACCTACCGCCAACTCTTGGGCTACTCTTTTACCAACGAACAGTGGGATTGATAGTCACATAATAACGCCCCCACGGTTGAAAGGGCGAGTATGTTTGGTGTGACGGGGATTCGAAGCCGCGACCCTCAGATTGCGAGTCGAGCGCCCTCACCATCTGGCCATGCCAGGCCCAGGGAGGAAGAAGCCCATCAATTTCCAATATAAGGGGACAGCACTCACTTCGCTCCATTTCTCATAAATTTCGATAGGCTTAAGGTTTCCCCAACATGAACTGAATCTTTGCTCCAAAATAAGACTCATTATAAACAAATAAAGATTTTTAATAGACTTTGGTAGATGAAGATAAAGAGTTGAGAAGATAAGTTAAAGAAATTAAGATAGAAGATAGAAGGTCACGCAAGTTGATCATTTAACTGTTTATTTTGAAATTATTTTCGCTCATATCTTTTCCCTGATTGCTATCATATCTTGGCCTTCATTGCATGAAAATAGGCTCACATTGACACTCTAATTAAAAATATTTTTGGGGATATGCCCCCAAACCCTATTAGGTTTTGTCTGCAGGCGCACTTCTGAAGAGCTTCATTCACTTGCGACCTTGGCTCCCCTCCGCACGCACATTTTGCTTCAGACTACTGTATACATCATCATATTTTCAATCATTACATCAAATATAATGAAATATAATCTATTTTTAGCATCATTTCTGAAGAAAACATAAAAAAAGACGAGAACATCATACTGACGTATAATTACTGTCAAAGTTCGAATCCGAGAGAAAGCTTTCCTGTTTGGTCCTGAATCACAATAAAGGCTTAATTATTTCACGTGAAAAACTGTAACTTCAAACGTTCCATTGCTACGAGCTTATAATTATCTGGCAAATTATCGATCTGCGACGCCCACATTTACTCCACATTTGTCTAGAAAGGAAAAGCATTGTGAGGTTTTCCAGTGAGACATTTAGAGCTGCATGTTAACGACCTACGCGTACTTAGTACAGGCTCGTCTGACGGTGGTTCACTGTACTATCCCAGTTTCCTCTCCAAGATACCATGACGCCTTGTAGCAAGTGACACGAACGGTAGCACGAATAATATGAGCTCATGGATTGATTTTCAGCTGACTAATATGGTGGTGCTGGTTAAACATCCGATAGTTCTATGTATGGCAATGAGCTGTAAAAAAAACAACAACACATCCGATAGTTCTATGTATGGCAATGAGCTGTAAAAAAAACAACAACAACATTATTCTCTAAGTGTATCAACTCAAGTCATATTTGTTTCAATTACACCATGTCCTGTAACATATGTATTGGGAATACTTTTCTTGGAGTAAAGGTAGTAAACAAAGTAAACCTTTGTTACATGTAAGCCTTTAATGATGAAACCAGTTTATGCTATAAATGTATCATCAAAACGAAAAAAAAAGACTTTATTGAATAAGAAGCTGATGGCCAAAACTGATCCCAATTCTTAGTGGTTACGCGATTTTGGGGTCTGTTCTTAGCGGTTAAGTGATTTCGGATCCCTTTTTCGGTGGTTATGATTTTGGAGTCCGTTTGTGGTATATTCGTGTATAGGCTTGAGGGTTAATTGATAGAACCGCTTAACAAGAGATTCGACAAGATGTCATAAATTTCTTCCATCCCTGCGAATGATTTGAAGCTCTACTTCAAATCTCATCACGACAAAAATGCCTTGTTATTGTACTTCAATCTAATCACGACAAAAACTGCCTTGTTATTGTACTTCAATCTAATCACGACAAAAACTGCCTTGTTATTGTACTTCAATCTAATCACGACAAAAACTGCCTTGTTATTGAGAGAGGGTCTCTCACACTCAGGTGATGTCGCATCATCACACTTGGTAATATTTCCCGAACTTATCAAAGAAAAATGTTCTCGTGTTCGTGAGGTCATAATAGGGAAAGCTTTACCACAAAGATGGCGCAAATCATCTGAATAAGCAGTTAAGCTTTCTGTGGATCACCTCTTTTGAGCCTTAAACTCAACCCGATGGAAAACCGTTTTTCACCATGTTAAAATTTCATTGCAACTCAGTGATGACTTTTTTGCAGTCTTCTCATCCAAGTACTCAATAAATTCTATGGCTGGACTGTTCAAACTCAACACGAGGCATTTAACTGATTGCTTGGAAATCCATCTGTTCCAAGCAGTTACTTGTATAAAATGTTTCTAGAACCAGTGAAGGTCCTCCTTTGCCAGGGATTTAAACATTGGATGAGTAATTTTCTTGGCGTCACTCATGGGGATCCAAGGGTGCAAACAATTGCTTTCTTACTGACCCCTCAGTCACTACCTGACTGTAAGGTTCATGATGTTGTCGACTCCTTATGGTAGGAGTATTCGGGTACCACAATGTCTGATGGGCGATAAGCTTCTGAGTTTGGAAAACAGAAGAACGAGGTGCAAATGACAGATCCTTTCTTCCTCTATCAATCTCCAAATTCATCCATGGGTTGCATTCATATCTCTCAGCTTGGGGAGGCTCACCACTATCCCACAA